TAATGTTTCTTGGCTGTCACTTGGTAACTCAAAGTTTCAACTCTCGCCATAAATTTCATTTGGATTAAGGTCTGGAGACTGGCTAGGCCACTCCATGGCCTTAATGTGCTTCTTGGTGAGCCACTCCTTTGTTTCCTTAGCATACACTGTACACTTTAGAGCATTGGTTGCAAAGTGTATGTGAATGTGTGTGCACTTGTTTTTCAACAGAAAAACAATTGCAGACAATCATATTAAAGAATCTTGCCACGCAACCCAACAAATTGAAAAGAGGGTGATGGAGGAAGCCTGTGAATAAAATACTACAGTTCCTATTTCACAAATAAAAAGGCTTTTTTTCCAATTACATCATGATTCTGGACAAACGATTCCAAGTGGAGTGTAATATTCTAATAAAGAAGCACAGTCATTTCCATATCAGTGATTAAAGTAGAGTAGGTAATGCCCCTTGTTTCAACATTAACAAAGCTGTCATCAATGGTACAAACAGCAAGGAGAGAACTGTAATACTTGCAGTGGTAATAGTGTTGAGAGCTGTATCAGCACCAATACTAAAGTCAGATCCGGGGACATTGTTGGAGACAGTGGCTGGGATAACAACAATAGGTATACATAGTTCTTCATACTTAGAACGTCCTTCCACCAGTTCTAGACTGCCTGTAAATGCCTGCAAGATAAATAACATTTACTACTACTAGGATACATGACAAAAGGTAGTACAGTTGTAGAAAAAGCCAGAGAATAGAGATGGCAACACAGATGTAACTATAATCAGAGTCCATGTGATTATTATGTATCCAGCAACACAGAGTGCTCAGTAAGCCAATAAAATAAATAATTGCTCAAAGTCCAATACTCTTTGGCTCTATAACAGCCTTTATACAATAAAGACAAAATAATTTAGATATACACAAACAGACTAAAGCAAATCTGTAAATAGATTAGGCATGCCAGACTGGTTATTTTTTTTTAAAGCAAGCCCGATACAGACCCCAGATCCCATTTCCTTTCTGGAGTTTTGTCACTGCAATGAGGTCATCTATTAATTCCATACTGAATTCAATCCACATACACAATACAGTTTACGACAGAATGCTTCTTACCTCAAAACCACCAATAATGATCAGGCCATGTATGTTAAAGTTGCTTATATTTGCACTGATTTCCTCAAAGTATTTCTTTGGCAGCACCCTGTGAAGATTATATTATACATATTATTTATATAAACACACATAAATCTTAGTGATATAACATAATATAGAAATAAGTGACATTATTTTAGTGTATTAACTATCTTGTAAACAGGGATACTAGCAAAGGACATTACTATAAAACGTTGGGCACACATGTCACAATCTGGCCTGCCTAAGCAATCTGATCTTTATCCAGTTTATTAGGTGCTTGCACTGTATAGTTGTCAATAAATCTAAAAGGAGTTTGGACACTCAGGTGGGAACGTATTTTGCCAGCTTTACCCTACAACTATGTGACATAAATTCTATTCTGTGTTATGACATTTATATACATTATTGCAAGAAACAAAGCACAGACTTTTCAAAATGATCTTGTACTTGGTATGGATAGAAAAATGCATAAGGGTTCAGTGTCTCGGTGATTTCATTTCTCCTTTGCCTATTAACTCTCAAACATATTCCTAGAAAAAGTCACCTTTTGGTTCCAAGTTTAGATCCTCCTTGGCCAGTCCATCCTCCCAACACCACTCCATCCAATTTCTTCTATCTATTAATGAGAAATAAGAAAATATATTAATAAAAAATGAAAGTGTAAATTCTATGCTAATTTTTCTGTCAAATAGTAATAGTATCAAGAGATTCATGTGTGCATATTTAATTTTGCCTATTCACAACATACAATGTTAGTGAAATGAAATTTCTCAATAAAAATATCTACATTTAAATTTAGTTCAGAAAACGACATCAAATAAAAGATTAAGTTTAACCCCCCCCCAAGAAAAATAAAGACACACCAGGTGGCCCTATGAATATTGGTGTCCTTTTATGAAACAGAGATCAGAGGATCGTTGCTGATCTCTGATCATTTGTGGTTTAGCAAACAGAAATGATCAGCGGAGAACATGTTCTCCTCTGCTCATCTCAGCACACAGATAGCCAGTGTATGAAGGAGCCATGTCAGCGCGATCTGTGTTCTCTCTCTAGATTCTCCAGCCCAAGCTGGAGAAATGGAGAAACCGCAAACTAAGCAGCGATAATTTACCGCTGCTTAGTAAACAGTGTTTGACTGATCTCTTGCTGTTCTCGCAAGATTATAGTAAAAGCAGCCGTTTTCTAGCGTTTGTAGATCGTTCTCCCTTCATTCGGAAAACTGATCTACACCGCTTCATAAAAAGGCATTCAAAGGAGAACTGTGTTCTCCGAGAATGCCCGAGAACTGAGCAGCGGTCATTTACCACTGCATGATAAAAGGACACCATTATCCAGTAAATACAGCTTCTGCATAATGTATTGCTGCCACCTAGTGCCTATTCTATAGTAGTGCAAGAAAAGATCATGTTAATTAGTTATACACCATACATACTACATTTTACGTCATTGAAAAAGTTTAGATTTTTAATTTATGTATTGCATTGCTATTCTAGCCCAAATTAAAAATACATACCAACTGAGCAAAAACCTAACCAGTCTTAACCATACTTCACAAGAGGACAATATTTTGGCACAGGTCTTTTTTGTTGTTGTTTATTATAAAAACATGACCTGTATGCACTCCGAATAAAAAACCTTGTGGTACATTATATATTTATCAATAATTTTGTGCACTGCAATACAAGGAATGATAAGGATGTTGTTTTAGTATCAGCATCTATCAGACCTAGAAAACCACATTAATACAATGACTTTGGTTCATACTCTCACTAATGTAGTATTCTCTTTATGCAAGAAATAAAGGTAAGTACCTGTCCTTTGGCAAGGCCCTCAAATCCATCATGCACAGCAAACATCCTGTGGCCTTGGATAATGCCGATTCTGACAGTGGATCTCACTGCAGCGTTCATGCCAGCAGCAGGGGCACCAATATTCAAAATAGCCAAGTTATAACCACTCTGCAAGTAAAAGATAAGTCACTGCAACAGCACAACTGACATTACTTCTCTCTTAATATGCACACGAATGTTTACACAATACAACAAAAACATAAATAAACCTGAAAAAATTTTAATGTTTCAGTCCAGATTTCAATGTTTTTTGTACATACTGGAGATCTCTTACCATTTTTGTATAACTCTTAGTGTTTACGTTGGATTTTTACATTTATTTTATATGATGGAGAAAACAAAAGATGGACCTGAAGCGCACAAATGTAGGCAGAAACACCAAAACTCCCAAGTGAACAGTAACAAAATTAAAGTTTTATGGCAGGAAAATATTATTATTTGAGTAACATATAAGGGACATATGAAGACTAGCTTTTTATACTGAGACCTAAGACACCAGAGTCTAATGCCCCGTATACACTATAAGAAAATCAGACGAACGTATTCGTCCGACAAGCAATCGAGCAATTTTCTGATGGTGTGTACATCATTTTTGACAGCCGATTTGATTTTACAAATGAAAATTAACGATGGTGCAAACATCAAAATTTTTGTAGTTTGGGAACAGAACAAACGATTTTTGTTTAATGTGTACTGTTTTCATACGAAAAGAATTGGGTACGAAAGACCACGCATAATCGGAAGCTGCTTATGACCCAGAAGAACCTGAAGAAAATAAACACCACGGAATATTCGTAAGCATTACAGCCATTAATGTCAGTAAACAGTTGTCTTCAACCCACCCCCCCAAAAAACAAACATTACATATGCCACTGCATCACAGTGAATGTGTATGTTTGTATGTTGTTGTAAAAATAAAACCACAAATAAAAATGATATATTTTCAACAATAAATTTTATTATTCACTATATACCATGTTACAAAAATAACCATCTAGTTAGATGAACAAAATACACAAGCTATGACATTCCTACACAATGCCTTTACCGTACAATATTTTTCTCATGCGTAAAAGCACATCACTTTCGACCAGCTGCGTACAATCGATGATAATCGGATGATCGTTCGTCCGATTTTCTTATAGTGTGTACTGGGCATTACCCAGGCCTTCAGGCTCTACCTATAAAGCTCTAGGCTCTATCTCTAAACTAACATTTTTGGGTTGACTGGTCACAATCACATGCAATACCCTTAAAGGGATTAATGAGTCTCAATCGTTGTCAATCCTTAATCAGTATTCAAAGTTTCAAACATGTCACAGTTACACTCCACAAGAACTGAAGAGATCCCTAAATGCTGTGTGTAATAATAAGGATAAGAAGATTTTCATTATCTCAATACACTCTTTCAGAGATTTATATTAGCTCAGCACAGGGGCGGACTGACAACTCATGGGGCCCTCAGGCAATAGGGGATCATGGGGCCCTTGTGTCCTCACACCCACACTCAAAAAAGCCTGTGAAAAAGCCAATGAAAGGTACTAGGGGCATCTCATGGGGCCCCCTACTGACCCCAGGCCCTCGGGCAGTGCCCAAGTGTTCGAATGGTCAGTCCGCCCCTGGCTGACCACACTCCTATTTTCCATGCAATGTTCAATGCAACTATCCTTATATGCACAGTTAAAAACGCCACAGTGTTACTTAAAAACCATAATTACTACACCAGGTTAATACTAATGTAAACACCAAAATAACAATATGGAACCTTTTGGTAATACTAACTGTTTAATCAAAGATAGTTCATCACATGTTTCAAAATGTAGAGTCTTGTCTGAAGTGAAGCAAAGAGTGTACATTATTCTATAGAATTAAATCTCTGCCTAACAACCGCTGTGCACATTTTCTACTTTTTAACCAATTGAACAAATAAATGTAGATTTCTCACCTTTGTGGAAGGGGGCCTTATGTGAGCCAGTGTCCTATAGACATTCCAGTTGTTTTCAAAACTCCTGTGAAAAAAGTCAGTTTAATAGGCAGGTTCTTGTCTCTTAAAAACACAAAGTCTGCTGTACATGAGGATAGTGTTTAATTTGCTTCTGAATCTCATGTGCATCTCTTTTAAAGGTGGTCTATGGTCACGGCAAAAAATCTTTTTTTTTCAATATCAGCATTAGAATAACAATGCACACAACAGTGATATTTTACAATCCAATATAAGCGTACTTTAAAAATCTCCTTTCATGTTGTGATTGCTGCCTGTCTGCTGGCCACTTCTTTCCACAACTTTCTGGATTCCCTGCATGCTTTGCAGCTTCTCCTCTGCTGTTTACTTTCTATTTCTATGGACTACATATTCCAAGGTACCTTGCTGCCTGCAAGCAGTGATTCCTGTACTCATCCTCCTTAACCTCTGTAGTTCAGAAGGCAGGTTCTATAAAATGTGCGACACAGCAGTGCCTACTCATAGGGCATAGTGAATACGTGTCATAGAATTCAAGGAAGTAAACGTGTGGGATCTTCACAAAGTGAGCTTACAAACTTCAAGGTTGCGGAGATAAATAACACTAGGCTAGAAATAATTTAAATACAGTGTAGAAATGAACAAATGATTTCACATTTTCACTATAAAAATGCAGAAAAGTCTTTTTTAAAAACAAAAGCAATTAGCTACAATGCATACAGTATATGTGAACCAGCTTCATAGGGATATACATGTTTCTAGACCATTAGCATTACCCGCCGTTCAGTGGCTACCACTCTTCTCTGCCAATCCCCCATTGGCTTCTGCTAGCCCAACAAATAAATTCAAAATATTACCAAAATCCATCCACAACTCTGTCCCCAGCTAAATCCTCCAACCTTATCTCAAAATGCTAGCCAAACTGTTCTCTTAGCTCCTCCCAAACGCCCTTGTCACTTCTTCTAATGCTCATTTCCAGGACTTCTCCAAATCTCTCCCATCCTATGTAACTCTCTCCTGCAATCTGTCCAGGTATTAAAGTAAAAAACAAAACATATGTGAAGTAACTGTACCAAACGAAAACGTAAATGGACAAGGATTAGTGATCTGGGGTTGTTTTTTGTAATGCATTTACCTTCCTCTTAATTTAACAGCTTCATTGAATTTTTTATTACCCATGGCCGTTGTCACATCCTTGGTCTGTAAAAAAAAAAAAGAATAATTGATTGTTACAATAAGTCATGCATACATTGCTGTAAATAAAGGTACTTATATGTAGCCTTTGTGAGACCTACTCTACTAGTAAGCTTCCCGCTCACAAACAAGGGCCAATCTAATCTTCATTTGGGTAGAAACCTTTCAGTAAATGTGACTTCTGTATAACTACATTTATTATGTCCAGTGCAATCTGAATACTAGTATGCATAAAGCGACCCTAAACTCTTGAAAAAAGAAAATCTATTCAAGTACTGTATGTATTCTTAATTCAAAAACATCTTTTATTGCTCTCAGCCTTCTCCAAATTCCTTCTTTTTTTTTTTTGCTGTTGTGATCCAACCTACTGTTAGAGGGTGGCTCTTTTTGCCTTCCATGGTTCCACTTTATGTAGGAACGTAGCCACACTCTCTTGCTTGCTCCTCAGATGAACTATGGATTAGGGACTCTGGGATGTGTAGTATGAATAAGCAGTGTGCATGACCGCAACTATTGTACACTGCTAGTTCCAAACAAGTGAAGGGAAAAATATCAGTTTAGGAGCTCACAGAGGAAGTTACATGGAGGCAGAAAAACACGGTCAAAATTATTTAAAGTGTTGCTAAACTCAGGACCCTGTACTCACTATATCTAGTCTCCCACAGTACACAGAAAATGAAAATGTATTGAAATTTATTTAAAGTGTTACTAAACTCAGAACCCTGTACTCACTATATCTAATCTCCCACAGTACATAGAAAATTAAAATGTAATGAAATTTATTTAAAGTGTTACTAAACTCAGGACCCTGTACTCACTATATCTAATCTCCCACAATACACAGAAAATGAAAATGTAATGAAATTTATTTAAAGTGTTACTAAACTCAGGACCCTGTACTCACTATATCTAGTCTCCCACAGTACACAGAAAATGCAAATGTAATGATTTTAGTAAATATAACCTGCTGAATACCTTTTCTCATTAGCAGCATATAGCAGTCTTGTGACTTTTATCAGTGTCCAGCTGAGCATTGGTTAAAGCCTGAAGGAGGAGTTTTCATTCTCCACTGACAGTCCCATGAGGCTGCATGACCCCTGACCCTCTGGACAATTCTGATTGACCCTCTGCTGATCTCATACACCCCCCCCAAAAAAACTCTCTAGCAATACACACTAAACTGAGTATGTGCAGAGTGCCTCCTAGGGCACCTCCTAATTATCGAGTTGACTGGCCAAGTTCAGGCCAGTGGATACACTGTATCTGCTTGTGTTTGGACACTTTATTAATGTATGTATAGGCACATTTAATTTTTAGTTTGGGATAGAGCAGGAAATGGATAGAACCCCAATCAGGTTTTTATTGATGTCTGTGATTCCACTTGGAAGATTCCCCCTTCTTTATGTGTCCTGTTGACCACTGACGACAGAAGGGGATGAAAGCTCAAAAATTTTATAAAATGTTACTAGAACAGAATGTGAAAAGAAACCCTCTATTGGGGACATCCATTCTGGTTAAAACTGTTTTAGAGAGGATTGCCCTAATGTTATAGAGATTATTTTTAGTTTCCTGCTGTGTCTCTAGCATAGAAAGTAAAAGGAAATTGCACCAATGAGACATAGGCAGCAAAAAAATAAAACAGACAAGGGTTTTAACCAATCCATATTCTATCCAAAATGGAAAAGAAATATTTTGGCTACGCATAAACTTTAATATTTGAGTTTAAACCATGTTGTGTTTAAATAATACCAAATTTATGATATGCATTGTACTTGGTGTGATATCAGGCTTGGATGCAGCTGTCTGGCCATGGTAAATGAAGAGCTCTATACACTGTTGTGCTAATCTAAAGGTCAACAAAGTTTGGAGATCTTTAGATATTGACTCCGCAGACAGTTCTGCACACTTTGTGCTTCAGCATGCAGTGACCCCTCTCTGTCATTTTACGTGGTCTACCACTTCGTGGCTGAGTTGCTGCTGTTCTCAGTTGCTTCCACTTTGTTATAATACCACTAACAGTTGACCATGGAGCATGGTGGCCAAGACAATACAGCGGTTTAACAGGACAGGTTCCACTCAGAACAGGCCTCGCCATGGTCGACCAAAGAAGTTGAGTGCACGTGCTCAGCATCATATCCAGAGGTTGTCTTTGGAAAATAGATGTAGGAGTGCTGCCAGCATTGCTACAAAGGTTGAAGGGGTGGGGGGGTCAGCCTGTCAGTGCTCAGACCATACGCTACACACTGCATCAAACTGGTCTGCATGGCTGTCGTCTCAGAAGGAAGCCTCCTCTAAAGATGATGCACAAGAAAGCCTGCAAACAGTTTGCTGAAGACAAGCAGACTAAGGACATGGATATTACTGGAACCATGTCCTGTTGTCTGATGAGACCAAGATAAACTGATTTGGTTCAGATGGTGTCAAGCATGTATGGCGGCAACCAGGTGAGGAGTACAAAGACAAGTGTTTCTTGCCTACAGTCAAGCATGGTGGTGGGAGTGTCATGGTCTGGGGCTGCATGAGTGCTGCGGCACTGGAGAGCTACAGTTCTGTAGCAGAGCATGATCCCCTCCCCTCGGAGACTGGGCCGCAGGGCAGTATTCCAACATGATAACGACTCCAAACGCACCTCCAAGACGACCACTGCCTTGCTAAAGAAGCTGAGGGTAAAGGTGAAGGACTGGACAAGCATGTCTACAGACCTAAACCCTATTGAGCATCTGTGGGGCATCCTCAAATGGAAGGTGGAGGAGTGCAAGGTCTCTAACATCCACCAGCTCTGTGATGTCATCATGGAGGAGTGGAAGAGGACTCCAGTGGCAATCTGTGAAGCTTTGGTGAACTCCATGCCCAAGAGGGTTAAGGCAGTGCTGGAAAATAATAGTGGCCACACAAAATATTGACACTTTGGGCCCAATTTGGACATTTTCACTTAGGGGTGTACTCACTTTTGTTGCCAGCGGTTTAGACATTAATGGCTGTGTGTTGAGTTACTTTGAGGGGACAGCAAATTTACACTGTTATACAAGCTGTACACTCACTACTACTTTACATTGTTGCATAGTGTCACATGAAAAAATATATATATATATATATATATATATATATATACACACACACACGCACATAAAATCTATTTTCAAAGCTTGTTGAACAGCACAGATGGAATTCTTCAAGCAGTAGTACCAACCCCATAGTCCAACATTTTTAAATACAGCTCAAGACTGCAGCACTCCAGTTCTTTTTCTTCTTTAATTTAGTGAATAATATTTACAACAAATATAGAATCACATTTAGTGTTCCATCATCAAACAAGCTTTTGGCCAGCACATCCTTCCTCCAGGCTAGGAATGCTGCTTAATGAAATCACACAATCTCAGCATTTGTGAATACAAGAGAACCAGATACTCAGCGCGCACACACACACACACACACACACACACACACACACACACACACACACACACACACACACACACACACACACACACACACACACACACACACACACACACACACCACACACCAACACACACACACACACACACACTCTTATCCATAACCATACACCTCTTGAATATAGAAAAAAAAATTATTGCTAAACAAACACACTAGCACAATACTAATCATAAATGACCATAAAGAAATATAAAATAAAAATACCTATAAAATGAAAAATTATTATCTAAGAGTTGCATAATTTACACATCCTGCATTTCCATCCTTTTTTTACTCATTTGCGATACAGGATTTAAAAAAAAAATTATATACAGTGGATATAAAAAGTCTACACACCCCTGTTATAATATCAGGTTTCTCTGATGTAAAAAAAATGAGACAAAGATAAATAATTTCAGAACTTTTTCCATCTTTAATGTGACCTATAAAACTGTACAACTGAATTGAAAAACAAATTGAAATCTTTTAGGGGCGGGGGGAGTAAACATAAAAAAACTAAAATAATGTGGCTGCATAAGTGTGCACACCCTCTTATAACTGGGGATGTAGCTGTGTTCAGAATTAAGCAATCACATTCAAAATCATGTTAAATAGGAGTCAGTACACACCTGTCATAATTTAACCCCATCATGTAAGCCTCTGATTAACCCCAAATAATATTCAGCTGTTCTAGTAGGTCTTTCCTGACATTTTCTTTGCATCCTACAGCAAAAGCCATGGTCCGCAGAGTTTCCAAAACATCAGAGGGACCTCATTGTTAAAAGGTGTCAGTCAGGAGAAGGGTACAAAAGAATTTCCAAGGCATTAGATACACCATGGAACACAGTGAAGACAGTCATCAAGTGGAGAAAATATCAACAGTGACATTACCAAGAACTGGACGTCCCTCCAAAATTGATGAAAATACGAGAAGAAAAATAGTCTGGGAGGCTACAGCAACATTAACCTCTTCCATACAGGGCACTTTTACCCCCTTCTTGCCCAGGCCATTTTTCAGGTTTCAGCGCTCTCACACTTTGAATGACAATTGCGCGGTCATACAACACTGTATCCAAACTAAAATTTTATCATATTCTTCACACAAATAGAGCTTTCTTTTGGTGGTATTTAATCAACACTGGGGTTTTTATTTTTTGCTAAATTAACAAAAAAAGACTGAAAATGCTGGGAAAAAAAACACGTTTTTCTTTGTTTCTGTTATAAAAGTTTGCAAATAAATAATTGTTCTTCATAAATTTAGGCCAAGATGTATTCTACTACATGTCTTTGGTGAAAATAACCCAAATTAGGATGCATTATTTAGTTTGTAGGAAAGTTATAGAGTTCCCAAACTATGGTATATATCTGAATATTGATCAATCCTGAAGTACTGACGGCCAATCTAATTTCTTGAGGTCCAAGAATGTCAGAACAGTACAGATATCCCCCAAATGGCCCCTTTTTGCAAAGTAGACAGTCCAACGTATTTCATAAGAGGCATGGCGAGTTTTTTGAAGTTGTAATTTTTTTGTCATAATGTTTCAGAAAATGAAAAAATGAAAAAAATTATTTTCACAATTTTTTTTTACATACTATCACCAGTGCAGTACAGCATCACCATATAACTGTCATGGCAGTGATCAGGGACACTGACTGGGGACAATATGGAAAAAAAAAAAATTATACTTTTTTTTTATTTTTTTTTTTTATTAGTTTTAAAATTTTATAAATTTTTTTTCTCTTTTTTTAAGATTTTTTTTCATATTTCACTATGACCAGAGTAGTATAATGTTACCATAGTAACATTGTACTACTTTGGGGAAGTGATCAGTATTTTTTTTTTTTTTTTTTACACAATTTGCTTATAGCAAAGAATTACTTTGCTATAAGCAAGCATTTACCTGAATGACATCGATTCATTCAGGGTTTTTTTTCTGTGCTTAGCTGTGATTTGGCCACGGCTAATCACATGACACAGCTGGGCTGTGATTGGCCCAGCTTGTGCATGTGATCGCTGTGACCATTCACAGCTAGACACACTAGTATACAATGGATGGCATGAAAGGAAGCCATCTATTATATACAACTGTCATGTGACCTGCTGTGATTGGTCACAGCAGGTCACACGGTACTGGAAACGTGGCCGGTACACAGATCTGTCATCGGCTGTGTCCGAGGTACATGGCCGGTGACAGATCGCGCCACAGAGTGGCCCTGCGGGCAGGTGCACTGCACATGCCTGAAAGGACGCCATATGGCGTCCACCCGGAGGGATGAGGTGTTTTGCCGGGCCACCTTTGTGCTATTGGACGGGCGGGAACCGGTTAAAGGAGTTGCAGGAATATCTGGCAAGTACTGATTGGGTGGTACATATGACAACAATCTCCCGTATTCTTCATATGTCTGGACTATAGGGTAGATTGGCAAGACAGAAGCCTTTTTTTTATGAAAGAAAAAAATCCAAGCCTGGATACATTTTTCAAAAACACATCTGAAGTCTCCCAAAAGCCTGTGGGAAAATGTGTTCTGGTGTGATGAAACCAAGGTTGAACTTTTTGGCCATAATTCCAAAAGATATGTTTGGCGCAAATACAACACTGCACATCACCAAAAGAACACCATACTCACAGTACAGCATGATGGTGGCAGCATCATGCTTTGGGGCTGTTTTTCTTCAGCTGGAATTGGGGGAATTAGTCAAGGTAGAGGGAATTATGAACAGTTACAAATACCAGTCAATATTGGCACAAAACCTTCAGGCTTCTGCTAGAAAGCTGAACATGAAGAGGAACTTCATCTTTCAGCATGACAACAACCCAAAGCATACATTCAAATCAACAAAGGAATGGCTTCATCAGAAGAAGATTAAAGTTTTGGAATGGCCCAGCCAGAGCCCAGACCTGAATCTGATGGAAAATCTGGGGGGTGATCTGAAGAGGACAATCTGACAGATTTGGAGTGTTTTTGCAAGGAAGAGTGGGCAAATATTGCCAAGTCAAGATGTGCCATGCTGATAGACTCATACCCAAAAAGACTGAGTGCTGGAATCAAATCAAAAGATGCTTCAACAAAGTATTAGTTTAAGGGTGTGTACACTTATGCAACCATATTATTTCAGTTTTTTATTTTTACTTCCCTCCACCTAAAAGATTTCAGTTTGTTGTTCAAGTTTATAGGTTTCATTCAAGGTGGAAAAAGTTCTGAAATGATTTATCTTTGTCTCATTTTTTTTACTTCACAGAAACATGACATTTTAATAGGGGTGTGTATACTTTTTTATATCCACTGTATATATATATATATATGAAGCTATATCAACGTACATGAACAGTTATATTCAATGTATTAGTGCATTCAGCACTGTCCAGATCATGTCCACGTGACATCTGCAATTGGTGGCAAGAGAGATTCTAGAACTATAACGGAGCCTTCTTGCACCTAGATATGCTAACTGATTTGTAACCATTGTCAGATAACACATGCCTGCAATAAAATGCCTGCACCCTGGCGGGTGCAAAAGCCGAAGGCACGAATGGCAAATCTATAAAGAGCTCTAGCTGCTTGACAACCACTGGATGAAAAAAAAAGAGGCATAAAGTGAAACAAAATGATCATTTTTAAACTGCATTTTAAACTGTTCAGACATGTTTATTGTATTTATTGACAATGAGTACTACCATTCCATAGAGCTTTACAGAGGACACTGAACCATTCACATTTATCTCTGTACCAATGCAACTTACAATGACGCCAATGTGATTATTTATGGGCGGTGTTAATATCCCTGGTTCTATAGCCTCCCTTGAACAATGCCTCTAGCCCAACCCACATATAAAAGGAAATCAAACAAGCAGCATTGTAAATTAAATCCTCAATTTCCATATACATGTTACACTTATACACGTTATACAGGGGAGGGAAGGGTATATGTCCCAAATACATATCATAGGAAGATTAAATAGTAGAATACTGTGCCTCCCTGCGCAATTTTACTTCTTCTTAAATATATAATATACATGCATGTAAAAGGAAATAGAACACATGAGAGTTATTAAATATTCAGAACGGAGCAGAATGAACTTACCACTTGCACACACTCCATTAGTGGCAGTCTGACTGCTTGATTTCCAGACAGGCTGACCACACAAGCAGGTGTGTCTGGTGTACCTTCCAGCAAAGCCATGACAGCTTCAACACCCATTCGACTTCCCTAGAAAATGCAACAATCACCTCAATGAAACACCATGAAAACCTTTCAACAAGAATAAAACAATAACTCCAGATTTCTGAGAAGTAGTCAACATGCAAGTATTATTTACTACTTGTTTTAATCATTGGTATGAACATTTTAAACTTCTTATACAGCCAATAAGGAATGTTGTGAGGAATCAGTTCACATAGCGGTCTATCTTTGCAGTATAACTGCAGGCACAGAGTGCTCCAATGGCAACACATCTCAAATGTAGACTGTTTTTTTTTTAGATGAAGTATAGTGTACAGAAACATTAGATTGGTCTTCAGTAACAGACTGCAAAAAAGCCCACTCTTACCAGAATTCTGTCAAAAGCTGAAGGAGTTCCACCACGCTGAACGTGTCCAAGAACGGTGACTCTTGTGTCATACCCAAGGCGTTTTACAACTAGCTGTTAAACAATTGACATTATTGGTTAGATTTAATTAATTTATATTTTGCTGTATGCCACTTGTATTAAATCTTCATGCTTATCATACAGTAAATAAAATGTTAAATGCATTTGAGTATAGTACGTACGCTTTTAACATCTTCTGATGTAATAGGTTTACCATTCAGGTCAATAGCTCCTTCAGCAACGATTATAATGTTTAACCTTGATCCACGACCTCTAGTCTGAAAAAGAACAAATGATGTTAGCTCCTTTACCAGGAAAGTGCATGGTAAAAAAAAAATCTCTGAAATTTGTGAGTTTATAAATATTTGTTGGAAATGCACATAACAAATCAAGGTGTCCTTTTTCAATACAGTTAAGTTATAAAAAAAAAGTAATAGTCACTTTATAAAAATCTTATCCTAAAGAATCCTTACATTTTAACAACTTCTTACCCATCTAACGTCGCTATAAAAATAACAAGGGCTTTCAAAGCCCATCTATGGGCATTTTCTTATAATTCTTTTGACAGGGAAAAAATACTTTGTCAGGTTTTTAATGTTGTGTCCCCATTTTAGAAATGTTCCTCATGCCCTCACTGCCTGTCATATGAACCGGAAATGAAGGTAAGGGAATCTCCTTAGGTAGGAAAGGAGGCGAAACTTCTGAAATGACCCTGTTGGAGAGATTTCTGCTTTCTTCCAACCTATCATTTTCTATGCAACAGGGTATTATTGAAACAAGAAATGTCGCAAAGTCTTTTCAGGAGGCAAATAGATAGCACAGAGAGTTTCAAATCCCTCTCGGCACTGTTCAATACTACAAAAAAGTTTTGTATGATACATAAAATGTACTTTACATGTAGATTTGATCTGCCTGGATCTTAATTTAAATTTGTTATAATGCGGCCTTACAAATTTCCCCATCCCATCATCAGGCATACTTCCCCTGATCCCATACTTTGGACAATCATCAGCTATATTGACCTGCCCACAGCCACTGCAGTCTGTTTTTGATTCTATGCAAAAGCCTGAGAAAATGGTCAGTGCATATACCAGGATGAATTGAAGCCTTAAAGTAATATGTCAAGATACCCAGTACAATCAAAGCAAAGAAAACTAGAAATACCTCACTTAATCTTCTGCAGAGATGTTCTTCCCAGTTTTCTTCTGGCGGAGACTCTGGAATAAAAACCCAATCTGCTCCACAAGCCAGAGCTGTTACTAGAGCCAAGTATCTAAGTTTTGAAGAAAGTGGTACACGGTTAGAATATACTGTACAATATATCTATGTAAATATACAGTATATAGCGTGTGTATGTCTATATATACACATACCAATATGTTTAATATAATTCACATTCAACTTACTGTATGCAAACTATTGTATATGGCCATTAACAGTACTTGTGAATAGAAGAACTTACCCACAGTGGCGACCCATGACTTCAAGAACAAAGGTCCTTTGGTGACTGAAAAGGAACATTTTATGGGAATTAGTTCTCTTTGTGATTTAAACGCAAAGGCAAACACAGTTTTTATTTGACATTGCTACCTAAAGCTGGTGTAGCCATATTAGTATAGCTATCTGTCATGATATTTGCAGGGCGATTATATGACTAGAACTGATGTCCCTGGACTGAGTAAATTCAAAAAGCACCGAAATCAGAACAACTTACAGGTAATACGTTTTCACAAACGTAAATGTATTAGTTGACTCCCTTACTCCAAACCTACAGCCTAGATTACAGGGTGTATCATATATGTAACTACAGGAGGAATGGATCTTCACAATTTCACTCATCTCTAATCATGACTGCAAAAACCAGGAAAGAGGCAGAAAGACCAGAGAGAAGCACAAGGCAAGTTCTGATTATTGTACTCTATAGTTGCTCTTGCAGAAAGCATACGGTCTCACTGACTTATGGAAACTGAACACTATTCCTTGATTGAAAATGTACACATTAACTTGACTCAAAGCAAACCTGTAGTGAAAGTTAGTAATACACCACTTGCATACAATAGCAAGCCCCTACAAATAGTTTTGCCTTTTTTCCAGAGTCCTGGTGGCCTTTTACTATGCAGTTACTGGCTTCAAAGGAAGCTGGTACTTTAGCCAAAGTGTGTCATTGTTAGGCAGAGAGATTGCCCATTATAGTGGTAGACCCATAATAGAAGACAGTGGACCAAAATACTGACTTCTTATCTAAAGTCCATATCTGTATAACAGAGAATTCCAGGTTTGCTTGCTCTCCAAGTTCTCTGGAAAAAAAGCTATGTACATACAGCTGAAGGTTCTATTACACTTTGAAGTGAAACTCTACCTATGAATACATTTTCAATCATACATACATTTAGTAATTACTAAAAGTATTCCTTCATTTGTATTTTTTTTTTACACCAACATATTTACATTAAAAAAATCATTTTTGAGAGTGTATCTTCTGTTCATTGCCAGCAAACCATGTGACTCACAAAGGTTTCCCTTTCCTAATAATACAAGTCACACTTGACAGGTTCAGACATATTTATACAAAAGTGAATATGACATTGGCTAAACATTCACTGCAGACAAATCTTCCAGGTCCATGTAATTTAAACAACAGTGATTGAATCACCCCCCCCCCCCCCCAAGTGAGTGTTTGGGGAAAGTCACATTCATTTCCGTAGAAATATTCCAATTAATTTGGAACATTATGTCAGATTTGAAGATTTCCAGCAGGCAGAGACAGCATGTCCTGTTAACCTCATACAAGTAAAAGAAGCGATATAATTGAAAATGACCAAATTTGTTTAAAAATAATTTTTCAAAACTATGAGATAGGATGATATGGCAAGATAGAATTACCTAGTACATCTTAAAGAAAACTAGCAGTAGGGGTTTCACTATTGAGGCTTGTATGCTCAGAAATGTAAAATAATCAGTACTTCACATACATGAGTGTGATAAATATATAAGAACAATACAAAGTTATATGACTATACAACAACAATATTATATTAATTTATATATGTATGTGTGTTTATATACAGTATATGAACTGACCCCCATAATATAAAACATATAGATGAATCCTCCCATAACTACTAATGGTGTGAGTTAATCACAGAGTTCCCAAAGTGTTTGCCCCACCATAAATCAGATACTCACATTATATAATAAAAACAGCTATGATGGGAAATTTCCTCTCACTTTATTTAGCATCTCCAAGACTATCTTCTATCTATCCAGCCAAGGATGCTTCCAATATGTCCTCTGTTTGATCTGCATTTGCCTTGCTTATGTACAGTGGGGCAAAAAAGTATTTAGTCAGCCACCAATTGTGCAAGTTCTTCCACTTAAAAAGAGATGAGAGAGGCCTGTAATTGGCATCATAGGTAGACCTCAACTATGAGAGACAAAATGAGAAAAAAAAATCCAGACAATCACATTGGCTGATTGGGAAAGAATTTATTTGCAAATTATGGTGGAAAATAAGAATTTGGTCAATATCAAAAGTTCATCTCAATACTTTGTTTATATATCCTTTGTTGGCAATGACAGAGGTCAAACGTTTCCTGTAAGTCTTCACAAGGTTGGCACACACTGTTGCTGGTATGTTGGCCCATTCTTCCATGCAGATCTCCTCTAGAGCAGTGATGTTTTGGGGCTGTCGCTGGGCAGACTTTCAACTCCCTCCAAAGGTTTTCTATGGGGTTGAGATCTGGAGACTGGCTAGGACACTCCAGGACCTTGAAATGCTTCTTACGAAGCCACTCCTTCGTTGCCCAGGCGGTATGTTTGGGATCATTGTCATGTTGGAAGACCCAGCCACGTTTCATCTTCAATGCCCTTGCTGATGGAAGGAGGTTTGCACTCAAAATCTCACGATACATGGCCCCATTCATTCTGTCCTGTACATGGATCAGTCGTCCTGGTCCCTTTGCGGAGAAACAGCCCCAAAGCATGATGTTGCCACCCCCATGCTTCACAGTAGGTATGGTGTTCTTTGGATGCAACTCAGCATTCTCTCTCCTCCAAACACGACGAGTTGTGTTTCTACCAAACAGTTCTATTTTGGTTTCACCTGACCATATGACATTCTCCCAATCCTCTTCTGGATCATCCAAATGCTCTTTAGCAAACTTCAGACGGGCCCGGACATGTACTGTCTTAAGCAGGGGGACACGTCTGGCACTGCAGGATCTGAGTCCCTGGTGGCGTAGTGTGTTACTGATGGTAGCCTTTGTTACGTTGGTCCCAGCTCTCTGCAGGTCATTCACTAGGTCCCCCCCGTGTGGTCCTGGGATTTTTGCTCACCGTTCTTGTGATCATTTTGACCCCGCGGGGTGAGATCTTGCGTGGAGCCCCAGATCGAGGGAGATTATCAGTGGTCTTGTTGTATGTCTTCCATTTTCTAATTATTGCTCCCACAGTTGATTTGTGCACACCAAGCTGCTTGCCTATTGCAGATTCAGTCTTCCCAGCCTGGTGCAGGTCTACAATTTTGTTTCTGGTGTCCTTCGACAGCTCTCTGGTCTTCACCATAGTGGAGTTTGGAGTGTGACTGTTTGAGGTTGTGGACAGGTGTCTTTTTATATTGATAACAAGTTCAAACAGGTGCCATTGATACAGGTAATGAGTGCAGGACAGAGGAGCCTCTTAAAGAAGAAGGTACAGGTCTGTGAGAGCCAGAAATCTTGCTTGTTTGTAGGTGACCAAATACTTATTTTCCACCATAATTTGCAAATAAATTCTTTCCAAATCAGCCAATGTGATTGTCTGGATTTTTTTTCTCATTTTGTCTTTCATAGTTGAGGTCTACCTATGATGCCAATTACAGGCCTCTCTCATCTTTTTAAGTGGGAGAACTTGCACAATTGGTGGCTGACTAAATACTTTTTGCCCCACTGTATGTGATCATTTCTGACCCCAAGAATCTGATGGCTTGACAGTTCAGTTGAGAACCCAAGCAACTTTGACAGCTATCTTTCATTACATGTCTTGAATTTAACTTCCAAGTGCCAGTTTTCAGCCATCTTTATTGGCCAGTGCAGGATGAAGTCACACCTGTGCACGTAGGGGAGTCAATTATCCTTGAATACTGGCGCTGTGGCGGAAATGTAAACGGAGCTGTGCATTACATGCGCAGCCCCATGTACGTTCTGCAGAGGATTGCAAATGTGCAGGTAATAGTATTTTATTGCAGAAGAGTCAATGGGTTTTGTTTGGCTTTAAATGAGCCCAATAGCCTTAATTGACGATTCTGATTTACTGTGTTATGTCTGCTTTTTTAGAGTGGAAATTATCATGTGCAAAGCACTCCACACTGCCAGAGCAGTGAGTCAGTAGTAGAGAATGGTCCAAAAGGATATTGATTGGGGCAAAAGGGGTTTTCAACATTTTCTATGACATGGAAAACCTGCATCAAAAATACAGCACGCAGGATTTAAGGGAGAAAAAAAAAAAAAAAAAAAAAAAAGGACACCGGACTCGTAAAGGATCAGTATGAAAAGTTCCATAGCAATACATGGTCACACATTTTTCTTCTGCTTTCTTTATTGCAAAAGTGGAAAAAACCAACAAAAAAAAAAAAAAAAAAAATGGATCAGTGTGAAAAGCAGCCTTACAGGGACTTACGTCAACAGAAGAATATATTACAGACAGGGAGAAATACATGCAGGGCTCAAGCTACCTTTGTGCTGTTGTAGTAATTGCATCCACTATCTCCATAATTCTGTGAAGAGCGGAATCAGTTCCAATAGTCATATCTGTGCCACAGAAATCATTGTCAATGGAACCCACCATACCGACGATATTCAGGTAGCCAGACTTGCTGGCCTCATCAGATGATATTCTCCCTAGAATAATATACAAAATATATTGTATATACTTTTAATATGTAGATAATCGATACAACTCAATTGACTCAACTTTACAATGCTTTCTGGTTAAGTCATAAAGAATACAGAAATCAACAAAAGATCTGGACCCATACCAGATTTCAGTTTCTGTATGGGTCCTGGGTACTTTCACTTACACAGATGTTAATATTTATTTTTTATGTGGTATAGTGTTATTATATCTGTGTGGGGTTGACACTATATATACACAATTTCCTTAGTATTCACAGATACTCAGGGCTTTTTGTTTAGCGGGAATGCAGTTCTAGCACCTCCAGCACAGAACGTATGTAATGGCAAGGGGTGCTGGGGTGTGCTGCAGTTTTTATGAATGCTGGCTGCGGGGGGACCTATTGTTGCTGGGGATGTCTATTGCGGCTGTTGGGGGATCTATTGTTAGTGGGGGTGGATCTTATGTTGCTAGAGGATCAATTGCTGCTGGAAGGGTTCTACTGTTGAAGATGGAGTCTGTTGTGGGCTGCAGGGAGATCTGTTGTTGCTGCTTTGGGTCATTTTGTTGCGGGTGGTCTATTGTTGCTGGGGGATCTACTGTTATGTGGAGGGGGGGGTCTAGTGTTGCTGGCTGCAGAGGATCAATTTTATTGCTTTTCTTGTTATCATTAACAAATTCCATACAAATCACTTAGCACACAACATGATACTTGGTTCTGTATTCTCTAAAAAGGTAGTACTGGGAGGTGGGTAGCGGGTGGAATAAAGGAACGGCGCTCGGAGGTGGGTACGGGGGAGGAGACAAGGGGGGACTCAGAAAGGGAGAGTTCCTTGTCTGATTCTCTGAAAAAAAAAGCCCTGCAGATATTAATGGGGTTACACGGTTACACTACCAAGTTAAAATTTCAGACAATTATATTTCCACTCTTTTGTATTTTTCACCAGAGTACAATCCTATTCAAAATTGATATTTAAGTTTTGCATGGCTGCTGCCAAAATTAGTTGCAGACGAGGCTCTTATTTCACTTGGGAATACATAGAAATGTATACCCTGTGATAAATTTTCCATGACTGCAATTCTTTTTAGGAAAGTATGTGGTCTAGCTGCAGGAGAGTGACACTATTGTTATGGCCTTTTGGAAGGGGCAAACACACAATCTATCATGGGAAAATCTCACCACTGTAAGCACAGTAATAATACAAATGACTCAGGTCAATAAGACCCTCCTTTGGGTGGAGTTTATATAAAAACTAACTTAAGTAGTGGTTGCAGAACAAAACCCTGAAACCAGATCTGTAGTGCAGTAGAGAAGAGATAAAGGAGTTAGTTTGGAATCAGTTCAGCAGTAGACTGACTGGCACAAATTAGACATAGTGTCACAGCTTTACCTGCTTTCAATAGGTCGGCTAGTAGTCCACTCCACTCTGCTCTGAAAGTATCTGCTCCTGTCAGACTGCCATCTCCTCCAATGACACACAGGTTAGTAATTCCTTTCTTCACAAGGTTACATGCTGCTTTAAGACGCCCCTCTCGAGCTCGGAAATCTTGGCATCGCGCACTTCCTATTACTGTGCCACCCTACAGAGAACAAAGAGATTGATATTACAGCATTAAAAGGCAAAATACACATGTACATTTCTAAACCTGACAAACAACTGTTTCATCCTATTTTACCTCTATTAATACAATTTATATAGGTTTAAAGCAATTTATGGCCAGCAATGATGCCTACCAAATGTTTTAGGTCATGGGAAGGAGAAAGCATGGAAGTATCTTCCAAGCTTTGCAAAGGTTTTGGACAACTCAGCCATTGTCACAATAGCTACTCTGCTACCCTCAACTCTAAAGCTTGCCAGATATGTTACAATCTAACTGTACATTTTCTTTAGATCTGTCAACAAGTATGTAATGAAATGGTATTACTGGATAGTTAGATATGTCTTCATATTACATAGGTTTGGTATAGATAGATGATAATGTGTATGGTGTGCCTAAGCATATGATCTGGATTCAAGATCTTGTTTTACCAAATTGGATAACAAATAGAACAGTTTTTAACAGTGGCTAAATGGTTAGCACTTCCTCCTGGCAGTACTACGGTCATCGGTACTAATCCCAACCACGGCACCACCTGCCTGGAGTTTGCATGTTCTCCCTGTGCCTGCGTGTGTTTCCTCCGGGGTACTCCGATTTGCTTCCACACTCCAATGACATGCTGGTAGGATCATCGGCTCCTGTCTAAATTTGCCTCAGTATGTGTATGTATAAATGTAAGTTAGGGACCTTCGATCGTATGCCCCTTGAGGGTTAGGGACTGATGTGAATGTACAATATACAGTATATATAAAGCGCTGTGTAAATTGATAGCACTATATAAGTACCTGTAATAAATAAAAAAACAATCTCTTAATTTTTTGTGATCAGCTGATCATACATTACTGTAAAGAGCATTCCATGTACATAATAAAATTACACTTTATTGAATGGTTATTCAGTTAAAAAGTGATGCCTCCTGCTTGACAAACGGCATCATTATAAAGTGCACTAGCCAACCTTTGTGGCCAAACTGCTTTTTGCAGGGAACCTACAATTGTTACCTATCAATTCTGTAAAGTAATAGCAAACTCTGCATATAGATTCATGCTGAGTAGCCAAGGGAAGAAAACACTATGTGTCCTTCTCCACACCAAAGCTACATGGGGTGACTTTGTAAAGAAGGACGAACATTGACGATTCGGAAAGTTGAAAAAAGACCTGTGTCCATAAAGGTCAACCTCTCAGAACTGTTGCAGCTGTTGTTCAGAGGAAAGCAACAGTGCAAATGTTGCCAATTTTGTCTTACAAGAGGAAAACACATCTTCATGACCCCCATAGGAAGTACTTTCTTGACCCTTTAGTAATTATAACTATATATTATTAGTTTATTAGTAGTATATATAGTAGTATATTATTAGTTTATTAGCAGTATTCAGTCCTTTTTTCAAATGTAATTATTGTCTTTGCCATTACTACCTAATCTGGTAAAACATGCCACGTCTTAACCACTCTTACTGTAAAAAAGCTCTCTAAACTTATGGAAAAGTCTTCATTCTTGCATGGCAACTGATATCTCCTTGCAATTTGTATAGTCCTTGTAATAAAAGGAAATTTTCATGACACTGTCCCCAAAGCAACCTAAAAGTAGAACTATAGAAGCAAAACTTTTTTTTTTCATTTTGGATAGAGTAAGGGAGGGTTGTAACCCTTGTCAGAATTTTTCTTCTATTGTGTCCCATTGCAGAGATTTCCCTTCACTTCCTGTTCCATAGCCACACAGGACGTGAGAGGAAACCCCTGCAAATTAAGGAATTCTTTGTTGACTTGCCAGGTCACTAGAACTAGTGTCCCCATTGGAAGATTTCCCCTCCATTACTTTTCTGGGGACAACCCAAAATTTGGGATTTTCTTTTACTTTCACTTTCAATGACAACGGTAAACAGGACAAATAAAGAGGGTGAATCTCCTTAATGGGGGCACATACACGAATACAAATTGACAGGTGTTCGAAACCCTCTCTACTCTATCCAAAACTAAAAAGAAATGTTTTGCCTAAATATGAATATGTCTTGCAGGGAGAGATGTGCAACAGATGTAGATGCACACAGTGGCCTTTTATTTTAGAACATTTACCAGATGTGTCTTTATCACATCCCAAAAACTGACCAAACCCAAACCAAATCATATCACATAGAGCTTATCATACCTCCTGACAGCTACATCAATATGGTCATAGATCAAATCTTGTGCTATATGTGGGCAAATTCATGGAGACCTAATGCACATGCTCTGAAGGTGCCCAAATTTCTTTTGGTACTGGTCTGCTGTTCTAGATACCATAATTTCTGTCAATCATTAGAGTTCTGACCTGGAACCTAAACTATGTCATCTAGATTAGGTTTATAATTGCTAGGATGAGGGGTTATCCCCTGAGGTTCTGATACCATTTCTCGGATTGCAGGTCCTAGCCTTTAAAATAATATCACAGAAGAGCTACTTCATTTCTCCCTGACCATACAGCATGGGTATCCACAGTTAATGATATTCTAGTTTGAGAATATTTTGACTCAAAAGAGAAAAGGATGACCAGGAAAGTTTGAAAAATTGTAAAACTGCTGGTTAAGTTCTGTGGCCCTGGCACTTATGCCCCTGACTCAACACAGATTGCCAAGTATAAAGGTCGTTGTTGGGCTACTGTTCCCCTGCCCCCTTTAAGATTTTGCTGTAATTACCCTCTAGCATTCATCTCTGGTTCAATGACCCTGTATGTTTTGGGTGATGGGTTGGATATTTATCATGGGTTGGTGTCTCCTCGTCCCTCACCTCTGGTAGAATGCACTTAACTATTTATATTTAAGATATGATATGTTAATGTTAACCCTTATTTCCAGCCTTTCTTGCATGGGGTGGCTATTTCAAAATGTAGCTGCAGGTATTGCAGCGCTGCCAATCGCAATGCCTCAGATTTGTGATTGTATCTAATTTTATTGCTCTAATTGGCACTGGATTAGGGAGGGAGGGGAAGAATGCAGGGTGAAGAGTTATTGTACTTGCACTGTGTATTTGTAAAATACTTAACAGAAAACTGATTAAAAAAAGAACATTTTCTATTTAAACAAAGTATGGGAACAACTTTATGAGCACCTGACCATCTCAAGTATGTGCTTGTTGCACACAGTGGTGTATTTAGGTTTTGCACTGCCCTAGGCAACACAAAAATCAGACCCCCCCCCCCCCGCAGAGAGAGCCTAACATTGGCCAACAACACCCCTGCCTCCCCCCACCCGAGAGAGCCTTTCAGTAACACACATTACCCCCCTCGGAGAGAAAGTCTCTCACCTTCACAGCTCCGAACATCCCTGGGAACGAGAGTTGGGCTTTGCATACACCATCAAGCAGTCTGCAGCCTCTCTCAATTCCCACCTGACCCCATGCTGCAAGTGTCCCTTCTTCCAAGGGGCAGTGCTGCCCCCCTGAAAAATGCCACCTTAGGCAAATGCCTTGTTTGCCTTGTTGTAAAAACGCCCCTGGTTTCACACTCGAATCAAAAAACATTGGTATTAATATGGAGTTGCTTTCTAAACCCCCTACCATTGTGACTATAACAGCCTCCATTCTTGTAGCAAAGTTATTAATTTGGTACATAAAAACATACCTTCTGATTATAGTAATTTTTACTAAATGTGGAGAATAAAATATTCTTTATGAAAAAAAAAAAAAAAGGCACAAATACATCTTCTGTCCAGCACACAGACAAGACTAAATAGTGAAGAATGATTATGTCTAAAAACCTGTTCACTTACATAGTGCTAATTGCAAAGGTCAAAGGTATCATCTATTTATGTGTGGCATTTGAAACTGGACTCCACTCAGAACTTTGACCTCATCTGGCACTAAAATGGCAGGTTATTTTTGGTCTTTGACATTGAGTGTACCTCTCTGGCTATAGAAGATTCACAGACTTAAGTATCAGTAGCTTGGCAAAGGGCGAACCAAAGAAATGTCAAGATGTCACAATGCCTATCTTTAATAGGACACTCATCTGACCAATAACCTTTAAAATGTGAATGTTATTTAAAGATTTACGGGGACGCAGCCATGTGAATTACTAAATGGGTGAGGTATATTAAAAGGAAATGTATCAATACAGCTATATAGCTGTATAAGAAAGCACTAATTACATTTTTTAGGCTGGTGTACCTCAGACATAAAATATTATTACCAGATGCATCTTCAAAGTTGCTGAACAATTGTTGGCCAAATTAGTCCATCTACCCCAATTCAGCCAATAATTGATCCACTTGAGAGCATCTCTACAGGGAACAGCCATTTGCCTACTTCAGGATACATAACTTTCTGCTATTGTTAAATAAAGAATGTTTTAGATTTTGTTGGTCTTTGGAGACAAAGGGAAAATTGCATAAGGAAACCTGACTGCCTTTCATAACAATAGCTATAATGGATATTAAAATAAACATTTTACTCTATCAAACAACATGTGATGTTAAATTCAGAAAAAATATCAATAATCAATTAAAAATTTATAAAAATATTGAAACATAAAAAGAAACATGTATTTGTCGCACTAATTCTACCTTCTCTAGAGTTCTTCTCATGTACTCCACATCTCTAAGCCCTGGTTCACACTGGATACGACTTTGAAATCGTGCAACTTCACTTGAAGTCGCATGATTTCAAAGTCGGATAGCAATGAGACTTCGGGTGTGACTTCATAGACATCTATGCGACTTCATGCACAGATGTCTATGCAAGTCACACCCCAAAAAGACAAAAGTAGTTCAGGCACTACTTTTCCAATTGGTATGATTAGAACAGTTACATTGCTGATCATTGGATGCGATTTGTCATGCATTTTAAACAGTCAAATCGCATGACATGTCGTACCAGTGTGGACCAGGGCTAAGCTGACTTTTTCTTTTAAACAAAGGTCCAGTTGAAAAAAAAACCTGTTTTGACATAAGTATATCACATTTCTTTACCATTCTTAGATGCACAGAATGCATTTAAGAAAAGCTGAAGCA